GTTATTATCCCACTATGAAAATATATGTACAATAAATAATTTGAATTTTCACTATTAAAGAATCTGAATAAATAAACGGAAGTCTAAACCTCGGGTCATCAGCAGGGCTTCCTCCTCGTCTTGGCTCCGGTTTTTCTTCAGTCCTGCAACCAAGACTCAGTTCCTGAGAAGTTGTTTATGTTCCATGAAGCTGCAACTAGAACAGACTACAAGAAACTAATCCACACAAAGGAAACATGAGGAACAGTGGCTTAAAAAATGTCAAAAACAATAAATTASTTGCTGTGTTTTGCACAGAAGAGGAGAAAAAAAATCCGGTTTGTTGTCCGTGTTCGCAACAAAAACACACTCATTCACTGAAATTATAACCGTCTGTCAGCTACACTACAGCTTCAAAAGAATTCCAGCATGAAGAGAAAAATAATCATATTAAAAACATTTTTCTCCCGATTATAAATCCTTCAGGAATGTTGAAACTTGTGAACAACAGTCCTCTCTGAGTGTCTCCATCCTCAGGCCTCCGTGGAGCTGCAGGCTTCAGAAGTTCAGGTGCTGCAGGTCTATGGTGCACAATGTGCTCGTGAACAGGTCGAAGTCCTCCTCGGAGAAATCAACCGGGCTGTCCAAGGAGCTCTGCAGGCTGGGGGACAGGCACGCGTCCTCCCCGAACAGGGTCAGGTCCGGCAGCGCGGTGGAGGAGGCCGAGGTGCCGTGAGGCTCGGACGGGGCCACGGGAGCCGCAGCGGGCCCAGCCTCGCTGCGCTCCGTGGAGTYGCTGAATGTCGGCGGGGAGTCCGGGGAGCCAGATGTCCCCGGCATCAGTGGGGGTTCGGAAAGGCTGGCTCGGTCCGTGTCCTCCAGCGTGGGCAGCGCATTGTCCCCGCTGGAGGACACACTGCCTCCCCCCTGGTCCCCCTCTGTGCTCTCCCCGCTGCCCGAAGCTTCCAGAGGCTGGCTGGAGTACGGAGAGGACGCGTCGGCGCCTTCCAGCGGCTCGAACCCGCTGGAGGACGGGCTGCCTGCGCTCCCGTCCCGGTGGTGTGTGGTCTGACGTTTGTGTTTCATCCTCCGGTTCTGGAACCAGACTTTCACCTGCCGCTCCGTCAGGTCTAACAGCGCGGCGATCTCCACTCTCCTGGGCCGACACAAGTACTTGTTAAAATGGAATTCCTTCTCCAGCTCCAGTAACTGCGTGTTGGTGTAGGCGGTGCGCAGCCGGCGCGACCCGGCTCCTCCGGGGTCCAGACTCGGCTGGCTGGGGTCTACTTGGAAACAGACACGTAGAAAA